TCATCATCCTCCTCTTCATCAATATCAGGCCGCTAACAACTGAAAATATACATGAAAATTAATTAAAATGTGTACAATGTCTTGGCAAAGTTAATATATATAGAAAAATAAAAGGGAAAAGTAGAAGATCAGTTACACATGCACCTGTGAGTATCATCAAAGAGATTTCAGTTCTTGCTATCTTTCACCTGAACTAGTTCTCAGGAGAGAAAAAGGAACAAGATAGAAATAAAGAGAGTTCAAGTACAGTACCTATATATGAAATTTGTGAACCATTGGTTTCATTTCAGACATTAATTATATCAGGTGAACCAGCTGATTTAAGTGTTCTGGTCTGTGTGAACGCAATGACAATATTCTTAATTTTCCCGTGATCATTATTTTTCTTATAAAAAATATACTCTGTGAGTAATTTTGTTGATATATTATTGCTGATTTTAGGCGCAAGTGTCGAAGTTTCCAGGATGCTGCTCAGAAAATGGGTTGGAGCCATTGGATGATTAAGTCACTTTGAAATAATCAAGGCACTGTTTCTTGATTTGGCGCAAGATTTGAAGTTTCTGGGGGTGCTGCTCAGAAAATGGTAGGCGCAAGTGTCGAAGTTTCCAGGATGCTGCTCAGAGAATGGGTTGGAGCCGTTGGATGATTAAGTCACTTTGAAATAATCAAGGCCCTATTTCTTGATTTGGCGCAAGTGTTGAAGTTTCTGGGGTGCTGCTCAGAAAATGGGTTGTGGTCGTTGGACGATGACTTCTTGAAGATGATTTGTTCGAATCAATTTGAAATAATAAAGTTCTGTGAGTTTCTTGGTATGTCATTGCTGGTTTTTGCCGTAAATATTGAAAGAGTAATGCTACACTTACATCACTCTTTTACATAATTTTTATTATATCATGATATGATATATGTCACAACCACACAAGTTTTTAATTATTTTAAATTTTTAATATTATAATAAAATTTATGTGGTTGTAGCATATGTTATAATTATAATATTTATAAAATAGTGTAAAAAAATAATATAAGTATAACATTACTCAATATTGAAGTTTGCCGGATGCTGCTCAGAAAATGGGTTGGAGTCGTTGATAAATGGATATTAATTTTATGGTTATTTTCGCTTTATATAACTCAGAACACAAGCAATTGGTTGGCGTAAGTAAACCGACCCAACCACTACTTGAGAATATGAAATAGAAATAAATTAAAAATATTATATATTTAAAAAAAAAAAGACGTTGGCTATTTAAATTTCTGAAATAAAATAAGTTCACAAAATAAGTCAACATCGCTGCCGTCCGTCAACTTTGACCGGTTCTAAAATTTTGAAAAAAAAATTATTTAAATAAAAAATAATATTTATATTTATGAATTAAAATAAGTTAATGATATATCAGTATTATTTATAATAATTAATTTTAATTTAATGGACTGATTTATGTTTAATTAGTTAATATAAATTTCATTATGGAGTGATTTATGTTGAAAGTTTAAACCAACAATGGATTATGCGAATGGTAAAAGCTTGAGGTCAAATGTTTATCAAATCACAAGAACAGTTGTTAATATTACTAGTCACGGACCGTAAGATTTGCCCTATTTCAGAAACTTTATTTGGAGTCAAAGGATTAGTTAAGATGTATGTAAACCAGTCCGAATACCTCCAATAAAAAAAAAAAAATTGTATATGTATAATCATTTACACATATATATATTTTTTACTCATGTTAAGGATAATTTTACCCAAAAAGTATAAATTTCATCACTATTTATTATTAAAAGTAAACGACGTATGTGGACTATGAAGTTTCTTGTGCATTATATGAAGTAATCACAACCGTAAAGTATTCTCCATCAAAAATAATAAAAAATAAAAAATTATAAAAGAATGTTCAGAGCCCGCTATATTACAGTTATGAGCGAAGGAGACATGAGTCAAAACTTTATACAGTCTCTTATCTAAGGGGGTTAAAAAAAAAAAAAAAAAAAAAGAAAGAGAGAAACGGAGATCGAGAATCCATGGCTATTGAAGCAATCATTTGGCTTGCGGTTAGGAACCTACATGATGCATGGATATATTCTAATTTTCCAATTAGTCCAACAGTGGAGACAACATTCGGACAGGTCATGGAGAAGCTCGTAGATTCCCTAAAAATCTTGGGAGGTACAGAGGCTGACAAAGGAAGTGATCTGACAGTTGATGACTGGAAGATCAAGTTTCTGCNGCCCATGGTGATCGAAGCAAAGAAGAAGTAGAACACTAAAGCTGAAACCACGAACGTTGTTTTCTTCTACAGCTGAACGAACTTAAATTTCATACAACTCAACTCAAAAAAAAAACAATCTACACACTCAAAAAATAAAAAATTGTGAAAAAATTTACCCGTAACGACGAAACTGTTCCCTGATGGAGAGGTCTTCCGGGTCCAGGAAGCTAGAAGAGGTCTCCATATCAACCTCCATTACGCCGTGACCTCAGAGTTTTGAAAAATCCCCTGTGAGACTGTAACTTCAACTTAAACCCTGGAGGAAAGCTTAGGGTGCATTTGGTTTATTATTTTGGATAGGATTTTGGGGATAGTATTGGATAATTGAATATGGGAGTATTATGAGGTAAAATTTAAAAACTTATAAAAAAAACTTCCTAAGTTTGCTAATTTAATAATTACCCCAACATGTAAAATGATAAAAATACCCTTACCACCTGCAATGTCAGATTCCGGCCACCACCGTCGGAATCTGGCCGAAAAATCGCGTTACGACACAGATCTGTCGGGTCTGTGTCATAATACATCGTTATGGCCTTTTCTGGTCAGATCTATCATGGATATGACTGGAAAAGGCTAGATCTACAGCCTGCCGTGGCTATCGATGGTCGGAAAAAGCCAAAACGACGGCCATCTTTGGCCGTCGTTTTCGGTCAACGATGGCCAAGATTTGGCCGTCGTTGACCTCAACAACGGCCATTTCTTTGGCCATCGTTCACTGCCAGATCGATGAACTTTCGACCATTTATGGTCAGTAGATAGGCCGTTGTACAGATTCCGGCTACCACCGATGGTGGTTGTCGAAATCTGGCAAGTATGGGTTGCAAGGGTGTTTTTGATAATTTTTAAACTTGTGAGTGAGTGATAGACTTCTACTAAATTGAATATATAATAGAGAATTCAAAATATGTTGTGAGTGATAGACTTCTACTAAATTGACACATGAAAACACGTGACCTATGCAAGTCCTCTTCAAAACACGGATCTATCTCCTGATTTATCATTCGATAATTAGTCTTTTTCATTGGATAATTAAGTCTTTTAGGGAAATGGGTTGTTGAGAAAAGGCTATAAATTTAGGGTCTCCCAAATATTTTACAAGCAACACAATTAGGACAAAAAGTTAATTAAAAATTACATTTCAGCCCTCTATATTTTGTTCTTTCTTTTCAGTCCCTATTAGTTTATTTTATTGTAATTACACAACTAAAATTATAACAAAATATAAATTATTTTAAGTTTTTTAAGTATGAACTAAGAATTATATATTAATCATAAATTTTGCACAAACTAATTATCATTAAGTTTATGAAGTTTGATGGTAAATTTATTGAATAATTAAACATGAAGTGCAATAAGTTATAACTGTGTAGGACAATTTTTTTNAGTTGGAGGTTAGATGGAAGCCCCAAAACATGTTTTGTGCCAAGTACAGTATATAATGCTATCTCTCTAATTGCTACGAGAATGGGATATTTTCACGTCCATTCTATCTCAGATTCAACTTCTAAACCACCAAATTTTACCATCCGAAGGCTCGTAGAATATTCAGACATCGAGAAGAATTCTTTTTCAGACAAAGAAATTCAACATCTTTGTTCTTATATATCCTTTAACAACGAAAAGAAAGAACCTTCACGTGCGGTAGGAAAGTTCCTCAACAAGGTAACCACTAGAGGTTTTGGATTGCTCACAGTGGTTGATCTTGAAGGTGTATTCAAACCAGCACTGCCTCAAACACTGGGAAAAAAGTTGCCACTTCTAAGGTACGTTGGTCACGAACTTTCCTAAACTCAATTCCGGAGTCAGTAGGTGATATTTGGTATCTAGAGGCTTTAGATGTGAAGTACACTTTAATAACCACATTGCCTATGTCCATTTGGAAGGCATACAACCTTCGACATCTCTACATGCACGGGGATTTTTCTTGAAATTGCGATAAATGACGATGAGTTTCCAATCCACCTTAAAACCTTATGGGGCGTAGTAATAGGTGATAGCAGGCGTACAGTTAACTGGTTGACGAGGTTGAGAGGTATAAGGAAATTGGGATTGACATGCCACACAAACTAAGTTCAAGAAATAGCTGACTGGATTTCACAACAAACCAGTTCAGTCTTTGCGGTTGAAATAAGTGGATGACAATAACAAACCTTCACTTGTCCATTTTCCATCCATGTCTAGTCACAACATGCTGTCAAACTTGTATTTGGTTGGAATTTTCAATCGATTGGATATAAAAAATCTTAACAGAAATCTCAAAGTCCTTACATTGTCAGGGTCTCGTCTATCAGAAGACCCAATGCAGACACTAGAAGGGTTGGAACACCTGAAAGTCCTCAAGCTTTTCGCAAATTCCTACTTAGGGAAAAAGATGCATTGTCGTAGTGGCAGTCGTGCATTTCCCCAACTCCAGGTTTTGAAGTTATGGATGCTAATGGAGTTGATAGAATGGACTATCGACGAAGGAGCCATGCCTACCCTAAGAGATTTAGAGATTAGATGTTGCAAACGTCTGGAGAAGCCAATTGGGTTGGAGAATGTGACTTCCCTGAAGGAATTGACCTTCACCAGTATGAAGAAGGATTTTGTAGATGAAGTTAAAAGAAGCATTGGCAAAGACGTAGTCATAATTGAAAACCACTGGAACTTTCAACCTCTATTTGNGGAAGCCCCAAAACATGTTTTGTGCCAAGTACTGTATATGATGCTATCTCTCTAATTGCTACGAGAATGGGATATTTTCACTTCCATTCCATCTCAGATTCAACTTCTAAACCACCAAATTTTACCATCCGGAGGCTCGTAGAATATTCAGACATCGAGAAGAATTCTTTTTCAGACAAAGAAATTCAACATCTTTGTTCTTATATATCCTTTAACAACGGAAAGAAAGAACCTTCACGTGCGGTAGGAAAGTTCCTGAACAAGATAACCACTAGAGGTTTTGGATTTCTCACCATGCTTGATCTAGAAGGTGTCTACAAGCCAGCGCTACCGGAAACACTCAGAAGAAAACTGCCGCTTCTAAGGTACGTTGGTCTGAGATGAACTTTCCTAAACTCAATTCCAGAGTCAGTAGGTGATATTTGGTATCTAGAAGCTTTAGATGTGAAGTACACTTTAATAACCACATTGCCTATGTCCATCTGGAAGGCATACAACCTTCGGCATCTCTATATGCACGGGATTTTTCTTGAAATTGCGAGAAATGACGATGAGTTTCCAATCCACTTTAAAACCTTATGGGGGCGTAGTAATAGGCAATAGCAGGCGTACAGTTAACTGGTTGACGAGGTTGAGGGGTATAAGGAAATTGGGATTGACATGCCACACAAACTCAATTCAAGAAATAGCTTACTGGATTTCACATCAGACTAGTCTTCAATCTTTGCGGTTGAAATCAGTGGATGACAATAATAAACCTTCACTTGTCCATTTTCCATCCATGTCTAGTCACAAAATGCTGTCAAACTTGTATTTGGTTGGAATGCTCAATCGATTGGACATAGAAAAACTTAACAGAAATCTCAAAGTCCTTGCATTGTCAGGGTCTTGTCTATCAGAAGACCCAATGCAGACACTAGAAGGGTTGGAACACCTGAAAGTCCTCAGGCTTTTCGCAAATTCCTATTCAGGGAAAAAGATGCATTGTCATAGTGGCAGCCGTGCATTTCCCCAACTCCAGGTTTTGAAGTTATGGATGCTAACGGAGTTGATAGAATGGACTATCAACGAAGGAGACATGCCTGCCCTGAGAGATTTAGAGATTAGATGTTGCAAACGTCTGGAGAAGCCAATTGGATTGGAGAATGTGACTTCGCTAAAGGAATTGACCTTAACCAGTATGAAGAAAGATTTTGTAGATGAAGTTAAAAGAAGCATTGGCAAAGACGTAGTCGTGATTAAAAACCACTGGAACTTTCAACCTCTATTTGTGAGTAGTTTTCATCTTTTTTATTGCCTTGTTCATCTGACATTGTTCATATTATTACATTTTCTGCGCTGATTCTTTGCTTTGAAAGAAGTTTCAAAAGCAATCTTTTGTTTTTCATTTTCCTCTTCATCCGAAATTTGTTATTTCTTTTGGTTTCCCGATGTGAACTTCGGTGGTTGAATTTACTGTTTCCATCTCAGGATTAAACAATCATCGGATGCAAGGAGTCTCGGTCGAAATGCAATCCTGTGGAAGCTCATTTTAGTTGGAAACATTTGTTGCATGCAACTGGAAATCTTTACTGCTATACTTTTAATTTCTTTCTTTCATTTTATATTTGAAGAATTCCATTAGGTAAATTTCAAATTAATTTATTTCTATTAAATATTTTTTCTTTTATGAATTTATTTTGTGTTTGCAAAGGAATTGGAAAAATTAAGAAAATGTCAATCTAAATGATGTGTGTTGGGATATTAGGACTCATTTTCCTATTTGTTCTTATGTAAAAAGTTATTTCTTAAACAATAGAATGGTAAATAGAAATAAAATTATAAAAATGCTATTATAAATTGTATTAAAAATAAAATGTCTCATATACTATATATATATATATATGTGAGAACCATTTCATTTCAAGGTTACGAAAGAATATTAGAACATAAAGTATTTGATGTACAGGTTGTTAAATACTATAGATAGAGTGTCTTAAAAACTGAGATTATTTCGCTTTACGTACTGTATTAATTATGTACCAACTTTATGATGTTTTGTGCTCTTATATATCATATTCATAAAATTATAGCGAATTTGTCGTGATATTTTGGTTAAGTCATCATGACTTTCTCAGCATTCCAATGTATCTAAATGTACTGAAAACAGTCATGAAAATCCCCAGTAAGGTTGCCCTGTTTTTCTATGGAAAACAGAGTTGGAGTAAAGGAATGGCTTCTCCACCCATTCTAATGTATAGAAAATGTACTGAAAACAAAAACATGCACATAAAACAAATTCATCGCCAAACAGCACCTTTATTGTTTCAATTGACTTAAAGTCTTAAACCAATTAATCATCTCCAAGAAAGTCATCCTCCAATGACTCCAACCCATTTTCCGAGCAGCATCCTGGAAACTTCAAAAGAAACAGGACCTTTATAATTTCAAGATCGTGCTGCTAACAACTGAAAATTAATATACATTAATCAATTATATACAAATAAATAAATAAATAAAAAGTTTGGTAGTAAAATCTCGGGGCTTCTTTAAATGATTAAACGACAGAGAAAGCTTCCGTATATGGTATGACAAATGAACCAATATATGGATACACTATTGGAAAACCACCGATTTAGAACGTCCTTTAAGCCAGGGCAAGGGCAAATCTTCAAACATGTGACAGCGGTGAAAGATTTAATAGTATACTTTTGTATAAATAGATTATGTATATACATACAAAAAATAATTCAATACAAATAATTCAATTCAATTAAGTACAGTTCTTGCCCTATCAAAGATATCTATTAAGTATATTTTGATTTTTTTCAATTATCTCTCTTGCTCTCTTAAAGATATCTTTAGGAGATACTCCAACTCTCTTTAATTGTCTCTTTTTCCATTTTCATTTTGACATGGTATTAGAGCTTCTCTCTTAATTACGACAATAAGGGTAGTTTCTTTCAACATATACAATATTTACGATAATAAAGTAGTGAGTTTATATCAGTTTTCATGAAAATAAATGATATTTAGGATTTAAGCTGATGACATTGCCGTATTGGAATCCAATTGTCATAGCTCATAAATATCATATATTTTCATGAAGATTGACTCAAACATCATGACTCATGAGACTTAATACAATTTCCACAACTTATTTTCTAATTTTGGAGCAAAAAGTCAACCAATCAACACACAAATTATCCAATATAGGAGCAAGCCGTGGAAGAAACGTTGGAAAAATTCAATCATCACTGTTCAAAGACATTAACTTCATGAATGCAAATACGTAACACAACAGTATAAGACTTTGACATTGTGTCATTTTATCTTTATTTTCTTCTTTTAATTATTTGAACTATGTAATTCAAGGCCCGCACTACAAATAAATACATATGATGAATAATATGGTTGAATATTTGTTAAATTATTAGAAAATTAATATTTATTTTATATATATAAAAAAACTAAATTACTATATCTATAAATTTAAAACTTGTGACCCGTCGGTGGCCATTTTTTAAAAACTTTAAAACTTTTACTTAAAAGATTTATTAATAATTGTTTAATTTCTTTTTTAAATTTCAGGTTAAGCTTATTTATGTTTTCAATTTACTGTTTCAGATTTTGCATAGGAATTCGTGTGAATCACGTTCAATATTATTTTAGCAGATTTGTAATTGAGACAAATTTTTTGATGAATAAAATAAGTGGTAATTTGAAGAGGTTCCATTAGTTGTTGAGGTGCTAAATTCTGCTTTTTCATTTCTTTCTTTGTGCTTTTAAACAACCATACTGAACGCAATTTCTGTTTGACATTTTTAAGATATCATTTTCAGACAAACAAAAAATATTAACACAAAAGAGTTATACAAAATTAACTAAAGCCACAAACTGAATTTTGAATTATTTTTTGAACTAGAAACTTGAAAAATTCAGAATAAAACAACTTCAACGGTTAACACCTACAAAGCCTGTAAATCCTCCCTGGGTCTAAGCAACTTCAAAGTAGCAACTTCAGAATTCTCAATACTCGAACATCTTCAATGTCATCAAATCCTCCTTCAGAGTTAACAAATTTTAGACTCAAACATTGTTACTACTTAAACAAACCATCTTGAAAACAATCAGGTGTAATTCATGCGACATTCTTCCTTAAATTAATAGCCGGAACAACTTGCAACTTGTCTCTAAGTTGCTCAAACCCAGCAGCCGACAGGGCCTTGGTTAAAATATCTCCGGTTTGAAACTCTGACGGAGCGTGTTGAATAACAAGTTTCTTATAAGTAACTCGATCACTAACATAATAAGCATCAATCTTAATATGTTTTGTTCTAACATGAAAACTAGATTAGAAGCAAAAGATCCGTCACTTGTATTATTATACCAGATTATAGGCAAACCAATAAAAGTTAAATCCAATTAAGAGAACAAACTATAAATCCAAGCAGCCTTAGTAGCAATTTGAGCCAAGGCTCCATATTCAGCTTTAGTTGAAGGAAGTGCTACCAATTTTTGTTTCCTGGAGCTCCACTAGATTAGATTAGATCCTAAAAACAAGCAGTAATCACTAGACCTTGGACCATGCAAACTGTTGGCCCAGTCAGCATCAGCATAACATTCCAGCTGCATTCATCTATGTTAATTGAGTACTCGTTTGCCTGCTTTCCAGTGTAGTGTTGTAGGAAATTTCAAAATCGACTTAGCTTGCTCGCAAAATAAGCTAAATTTGGTCTAATTAGTAGTAAGTACTGCAAATCTTCAACAATACTTCTATACACTACAGGTTGATAAAAAACATTACTGTCATCTGTATTAAGCTTCGTTCCAAGAGCTTTTGGAGTGTAACAAGGCTTGGCATCAATCATTCCTGCTCTTTCCAATAAATCCTTCAGCATATTTTGTTGACTAATTAGATGAATAAGAGAAGAAGTACTAAGAACTTCAATCCCCAAAAATAGTCCAGAGCATCTAGAGTCTTCAAGGCAAACTGAGAATTCAAATGAGAGATCAAGTGCTTGATCTAAGCAGAATCATTTCCAGTAAAGAGGATGTCATCAACAGACACTAAACCATAGATGACTTTGCCATTTTGTTTGTAAACAAATAAACTTGTATCAACTACTGAAATTTTTAATCCCCTTTAGTATAGCAGTCTTCAACCTCTCAAACCAAGCTCTTGGAGCTTTTTTGAGACAATAGAGTGCCTTGGTAAGCTTACATACAAGTTGAGGAAACTCTGAACTTACAAAACCTTCCAGCTTGCTTTTGTGCCTCTAAAATTGGTCCACCTGGAGAAAAGAGGTTGTCAAGCTCAGGTAAATCATGAATAAAAGGTCTTACACCAACGCCCAGGAAAGTAAAAACTTGCCACATCTTGCTTGGCTGAAGCTTGCAGTGCACTAACTAATAGAGGAAGGCTATCTGGCCGCACAATCTGAGAGTTGGACACAAAAATTTTATCCTCCATTTACGACTTGGAAATTTCTGTCCCATATCTTCTATCTTGCTTCGTCTCTGGCTCCAAGAACCCCCTTTCCTTTTAGGTTTTCTCAAAATTAGCAGATGCACATTTGTTGTAGGTGCTGACAAATGCCATAAGGCTCTCATTTTACTTGTGGTTTCACAGTGATAAGGAAAGGCGATGCGGCCAGACATTCACCAATGTGACAATACCTAGCATTGGCACCTATAATATTAAGTCATCTTAACAGCCTTCTTATCATTAACCCAATAACTTTGATAAAAAGAAATCCCTAAATCCCCTACTGAAACTAAAGAATTTAGCGTTTAAATCAAAACAAATTAGCCACATGATTTCAAAAAAAGTTGATAATAATCAAAAGCCTCCATTATTCTTATCTTTAATAGAGTCCGTCATTTTTAGACGAGACGGCCTAGAAGAAGAAGAGGAAGAAGAAGTTCCCTGACTCAGCTTTGGCGAATATGAAAGCTCCAACACAACTGCTACAGCTGTAATTGTAGAAGCCATGTTTAAGGTAGTCTCTCACTCGCTAGTTTCAAACTGTTGTTTTCAGAAATAGAAGATAAGAAGAAACCGCACGCCACTCCACTGACAGTCTGACACTCTCGTTTTAAGGGGGAATTGAGTGTTTTACCAAGATTTTGGGGTGAAATAATCATTAGGGCTATTCTTACCTCCCCTAAATTTTAAGTTTTTACATATCACACCCCAAATATATAATAAATTACTCAGTGCCCTCCCATTTCAGAAACTGTCACATGTCTTTCACAGTCTGTTATTCTTAATTTATATCATTAGTCAACGGCAGAAAAAAGTCTCACTCTCTCAAATCCTAACATGAGGAGTGCTAGCCAGTAGCCACCATCGCCCAGCACTCGTTGGGCCAATTGCTGGGCTCCTCTTTGCCACGTGGCTGCTTTTATCCTTTGACCAAATTTTATAATTCCCACGAAATTTATAAAATTTTACTTTTACACCCGACAAACTTTGTAAAAGTTTCTTGATCACCCCAAACAGATTTTAATCAAAATTCTGATTTCATGGTTAAAAGTAATAAAAAAACACTAACCGGAAAGGGTTGAGAGTCATTATCAGTACTATGGGCGGAAATTAAAACTTTATTGTCTTTAAAAATTATATAAATAGATAATGCATTCAAAGACTTAACACTTTTTATACTATTATTGTTACGATATCATGTTGGAAATTTTGTTGGCCATCGGATTTTGGCACTAGTGACCCGTTTCCGAGAGCCGATTCTAGCCATTGTGTCTATATTATTCAAGATAATATAAAAAAATTTAAAATAAATAAATTTTAGACCTCATTTAATATTTTATATAAGTTTATATTTACTGTGGAAAGGGTATATGAGGTAGTTTGATCAATGTGTTCTTTAAAATTTTCAGTATTTAAATTTAAGTTACAAAATTTTACTTTTTCTAACAAGTGATTTTATTTGAAAATAAGAGATAATTTGTTAAAAAAAAAAAAAAGAAGACTTAAACTATATATATTGAATGAAAAGTGAGAAAAACAAACAACCCCTTAGAATGTCAGCAATTTGTAGAGTCAATGAAACATATTGCATGATCAATTTCTTGAGATGGTTTTTCATTGATTTAGATGTTTTTTTGAACTAAACTTTTTCTATTGTTATTTCTTTTGATGGTAATTATATATTTTCTTATTTTAATCAAAGAAAATAATATATAATTAGTTATTTGATATCGATAAGCTAAAAAACCTTTCAAATAGGTGGACAAAAATATCCTTAGTTCTACTTTTACTTTTTATTTAAAACTATTAAATAAAGAAATTCTATAAAAAGATTTAATAGAATGATTCACAAGTTTAATTTTGAGAAAAATCTAAATTTTAGCAAACAAAAGTTTTTGAAACACTTATACAAGACTAAGGTGGTGTTTGGTAACGTGTCTGGTAACTATTTAATGTTGATTATTGAATAACTCTGAATGAATTAGATTGAATTAAATATTTATGATATATTTGTTTGTAATTTTTTAAAATCTGATCATAAGTATTAAGTTTTTGTTTTTACAAATTTTAATATTGTCTCTGAAAGGTCTAATACTTTAAGATTTTCTAGTTGACAAAATCCAATGGGATTGGACCTTCAAGATGATTCTTTGACATTATAATATCTATCAAAGATATAATTTATTTCCTGACCATTCAACAAGATGGTTATCACTTATACACAACACTTCCAAGGAGCAATTAGACAAACTATTTGGGATCCAATTGTAATATTGACAAGCTGGTGAGGTTGAAGTTATCTTAGAATATCTGACCTTGCAAACTATTATTTGACAATGCAAGGCGTTGTAATGAGATGCAACCCATGGCCATATGCTCAGGTATTCCTCCAGTCAACAAATTGTTGGACAAATCCAAATACATCAACCAATTCATGTCACCAACCGAAGAGGGAATACTACCATTCAAAGCATTTCTAGAAATGTTTAAAGTTTGTAGCATTGGTAGATAAGCTCCAAATTCCATTGGAATATGCCCATGGAAGGAATTGATGGATATATCTAATTCTTGCAAAGACATGTGAGGATGAATTGGTAATTGCAAAGGCCCTGAAAGAGAATTATTAACTAGATAAAGTGTTTCTAGCTTGGTATTGTTGTTTAACAACCAAACTGGAAACTTTCCCTTTGAATTAAAGTTAGAGAGATAAACCCATTGTAAGTCATGCTGACTATAGAGAAATCTGGGAAATGAACCACTATATCCACAATTGGATAACGAGATGCCATTTAATTGAAATTTTGGGGCCAGATATTGTGACTCAATTCCTGCATATATTTCATTACTCTCACCATAGAACATCTTAAGCTTTGAGTGGTTAAAAAATGGTTCAAAGGAAACAGGGATTTGAAAATGATTGTCTGAAAGGCTTAATTCTTGGATGGATGTCAGCACCTTAAGGGGAGATAAGGAGATATTTCCCGTAAAATTATTTGATGAGATATCAAGATATAGAAAGGAAGTCAAGTTTGCTAAAAACCAAGGCAAGGTACCCGTAAAATGATTTGATGAGATACCTAGGTGTTGAAGGGAAGTCAAGTTTGCAAGACAACAAGGCAAGGTACCCGTAAAATCATTGTATGAGATATCTAGATATTGAAGGGAAGTCAATAGTTTCCAAGACAACAAGGCAAGGTGCCCGTTAAACCATTGTCCATCATGTTTAAGTGCTGAAGATGAAGCATCTTACAAATTCTGAAATAAAAAATGTCCTTAATAGTTACTATATGAAGCACAAGGGTAATAATAGTCATGCAAATGTTACTTAATCAATATGCTTATAATTATGTAGTGCACAAATTTAATAAATATACTAGCTATGTGCGTATTTTTTATTTTTTCTTTTAATAGAATTATATACATAAATTATAAATTTACTGTAAGGAGAGAGAAAAGTTACTAACTTTGTCAAATAGAGTGTCGCTGATGTTGAGGTTACTGCTGAAATTTCAATAGATTGAAGAGAAGTATACCCTCGATCATTTGAAGAAATTTGTTGTTAAAAACAGTGTCGGAAATAGTTAAATTGTCAGATTCTTGAACGAAGGTAACTCTACAAAAGCACAAAAGTAATAAAAATTGTTCAATAATCTACACTAATTATTTATATTCTAAATTGAAAAAGAATATTCAATATGGTATAGAGGCTAAACTAGAAAAAAAAAAAATAGCAGGGTTAGATAAATCTTATAAAACTAATATGTATTTTCAAGGTTTTTAAAAGGCTTTTGACCATTTCATGTGAGTATTTAAAAATTGTAAGAGTCTTTGAGACATTGAGACTTTACGATCTTTTAAGTTGATCATAAATCCTAATATTTCTTAATTAGTTTGATTTTGTTGCTTTTACAAAAAGGTAATTTGGCTGCAATTTGCTCTGCAATTTCTTAAAAGGAGTCGTACTTTTATTTAGTCTCAAAAACAAACGCCTTTTTAGACTTTCTATGGGACCACTTTAATTCCCAAAAAGGATATTTCAACAAATTTACCCATGAATTTTGAGAACCAATTTCAATAAAATATTTTACTACATTTATATCCTTAATAAAATAGAATATGGGGCTAACCTTAAACAAAAAAAAAAAAAAAAAAAAAAAAAAAAAAAAAAAAAAAAAAAAAGGGGCTAAAAAGCATATCTTTATTACGTAATGCAGCACGACCAGTAATGACTTGAAAAAAAAAAATTCAACAAGGTTAAATAAAATCTTAAATACAAAAATAAAAGAAGATGAAATTTCATTAATAAAGAAAGAAGAAAAATAAAGTTGTTTTCAATTTAATAAGCGTTAAAACAATAAAATGTACGTTTAAAGAGAAAAAGGTTAGACTAAAAGATAACTTTAATTAATACATCGTTAGTGTTTCGAAAAATAAATGATCTATAAATCAATATTCAATTCATACAATTAATCAATTCTCATCAAATCCTTTAATAAAAAACAAAATTCAATTTTTTTTTCATTTTATTTTGTGGAAATTGTAAATAATATGGAATGAATCTTAAAAATTGTCTTTTGTCAATGAATGCATTAAACTAGAGTTTTAATTCCACTTTCAGTTTTCTTGATCATTACTTACAAATTATGCAAACTTTCAGGTGACGTAAATGCTCCAATGCTTCGAAGAAAGTTTATATGGAAAGTAGAACAATAGAAGCTGAAGGCTACTACTATGTTGAAAAGGTAGAATAAATTTTAGGAAAGTTATTATATAATTATGACAATAATTTAAAGGCAAAACAAATTAATGTACTTACTTTCAATATTATTGTAACTTACCGTCAGTAGTAACTGCTCCACTAAAGTTGTTATAATTGAATATAAGAGACTCTAGGGATGGGAATAAGCCCAATGTTTGTAAGAGACTGCTTCCACCACTAATACCGTATAGTCTAAGCGAAGTCAACTTCCTCAAATTTGTTTCACCTGTGTGTTTGTGAAAATATTCAAGCACAAATATTTTCAATGCTTTCCCATATTGAAAAACAAAGTTCTTTAAATTTATTTGATTTAATAATTAGAATAAAAATACCACTCTAAAATCTGAAATGTGCTCTTTAGAGAAATATAGTACATGTGTGCTATTGTGCGTCTATGTTGGTAAAGGATGAGAAATGTAAGTTTAAATATTATTAATCATATACCTTTGGAGAATACAATTTTTTTAATCTCATTTCCGCCTATGTACAACTCCTCTAAGTTGCTCAAGGAATCCAATTCTGGCAAGAGTTAAAACAGTGATTAAAACTAATAAAAAAGCATTTAAGAAGATTTTTAATTTCATTGAAGGCAATGACAAAGTCCTTTAATGATGAAAGACCAACTAGAGATATGATAAGATGCTATTAAAACATTTTTATCATCAATACTTAATTAACAACTTTCATTAAGTCAACATTAATTACTTCTAGATATCCATAGCCTTCAATATTGTCTTCCTAAATGAATATAAGTTTTATCCCTTTTTGAAAATCTCATTCTGCTCAACTACTCTACCTTCTTTGTGTTGGTCAAAGAGTTTAATTATACAGTCAGCTAAAACCATCAAAAAATGAAGAAGATGTTTGGATTGAGTAAACTGAAGTTTCCGAAAGAATCTTATTCAGAGCTCTTAATTTACTTGATTGCAATATCTCCAACTCTAGTTTGACAAAGCAAAGAGAGAGAGCCTTCTGTATAGAATAAATTGTTATACATTAGAGAAATTAAAGATGAGAAGCAAGCTTGCCTTGAAGATCAACAATGCCTTTTAATCCGATGTCACCCAGATATAGTACCTTTAATGATGAGAGAGTAGACACATATGATAATATGCTATTGTTGAACATGTTACCGCTTAAGCTTAGAAGCTCCAAGTTGCTCAACCTTGAAGCTGAAATTAGCAAATATAATAATAGTAATAATAATAATTGTACATAATTTTGTGTATCAATCTTAAATATAAAAGTGATAATAAAAGTTATGTCATATAAAAGAACATTACCATTAAAATGGTTCAGTTCTCTAAACTGATTATAATATAGACTTAAATTCTTGAGAGATGAATGTTGGCTCAAAGCTGATAAAACGTGGCTGTCATTGAACATATTGTAGCCAAGTTCGAGATCCACGAGATTAGTCAAGTGTGATAATCTTTCAAAACCTACAAAGCAACTCTTGTTAATAAAGACATGGAAGTAAAATTTCATAATTTAAAGTGAGGATGGAAAACCTTCATTCTCAACGCAACCGGCTATGAGATTTCCTCTTAAGTCAAGTGTCTCCAGTTCTCGGAAGGGAGAAAACAAAGAAACATTTAGATACCACTCTCCTAATTCTTGACTTCTTGTATAGTCAAGATCAAGAGAGATCACTCTACCCGTTATGCTATTGCAAATAACACTTTCCCAGACACAACAGTTTGAATTTCCATTTCCCTCAAACCAATTTTGAAGTTTGTAAGGATCATTGAAGAAATGTTTAAGTTGCAAGAGAGCAGATCTCTCTTGCTTCAAACACCCTTCAATCCTCCATCCTTGTAAAGAAATAAATATCAAAATCAACATCAACCACATCCTCACACATTTAAACCCCATCTCTCAATAACACACTAATTGCTCTGCTTCTGTGACTACTAAGAGATTAGCTTTGTGCTATTTATAATATTATTGGATCTCAATATTGTATAGACTAAAAACATAGAAGTATTACCTTTTTGGTCAACAACTTCATTTGCTGTAGGACATAGAAGAGGCCAATAAGGGCAAAATTAATGCTGGTCCCCATTATTGTGGAAGGAAAATTCCCATTGACTGCAACTAGCTTGGAAAAATCAAATTACGCGGTTTGAGACTGCTTCCTCTACCATAACTAATAACTTCATTTGCTGTAGGACATAGCAGAGGTCAATAAGGGCAAAATTAATGCTAGCCCCCACTGTTGTGGAAGGAAAATTCCCATTGACTGCAACTAGCTTGGAAAAATCAAATTATGCAGTTTGAGACTGCTTCCTCTACCATAACTAATTTAATTAAGTAATATTATATTGTTAAATAAATTATATAAAACATTTTATTTTTATATTGTCATATAGTGTGTTGTTCAATGAATCAATTTCTTTATACTTAATAATTTTAATTTATATACATCCAGATAGTATATATGAGAAGGTATAGGCGCATAACCACTTTTTAAATGAAGTTAATTATTAATCACTTTTGAAGATAAATTACAAAAACAACACTTGGTAATATTTTTTATGAGTCAAGGTCAACCAAAGTAACAAGTTTCTTAGAATCTCTCTATACATTATTGCTAGAAATCTTTTTCTAACCAATTGTTTTCTTCAATTATAATTGATAAACAATTCAATTTAGGTTTTTAATCCTATTACATTGGACAGATTAGTGTTCATGAGATCATTCGCTCCTTTTTTCCAAAGATTTATTATAAGTTTATATCCTTGTTTCCATTGTGTATGAAGTAAGCTCAAATTATCTTATCCTCTCTTACTTAATTTTATTGCTTTTTGTTCTTGTTGGTATTGGCTCTAACAATTTTCAATTTCTAAATGGTTTTTCATTCTTGTAGGACCAAGTTGTGGAAAAAATGTTAAGTTGTGGAAAAATCAATTGTCATAGGTCATAACATCTATTTCACAAAGACTTACTCAAATATCATGACTTTTGAAACTTAATGCAATTTCCATATTGATTTTCCAATGAGGCAAGAAGTCTACCCAAAATTTATTTAATGTAGGGCTAGGTTGTGGAAGAAAGGTTGGAAAACCCAATTATCACGGCTCAAAGACATCAATTTCATGAAAGCAAATCCAACATAAAAATAGACTTTGACATAATCGTTTATCTTATTTTAATTATTAAAACTATGTAATTCATTATAGATATTACTCATGTATATGCACATGATGAATAATATGGTTTTATATTTGATCAATTGTTAAACAATTAACATTTATTATATCATTTATACAAATAAAGCTTATTATATCTATAATTTATAAAAAAAGATCCAAGTAAAAGAATATATTGACAAGACTCGTCACAACCTTCTCTATCTCATAGAATCTGAGCGTTTCTATAAGACTTAAGAGACCAAGACGAGTCGTGTATGAGTATCGAAAAACTAATCTCTTTTTGAACTTTCATAGATTTCGTTAGCTTCAAATCCTTTTTTTTTTTTAAAACAAAATGGTACACATCATAAATTCTGAATCTTAAAATCGTAAAACCAATCGTCACAACTCATAAACATCTATTTCATGAAGACTGACTCAAACATCCTAACTCCTTAAACTTAATGCAATTTCCATACTTGATTTTCCAATGGGACAAGAAGTCTACCCAAAATTTATTTAATATAGGGCCAAGTTGTGGAAGAAATGTTGGAAAAACCAATTATCACGGCTCAAAGACATCAATTTCATGAATGAAAATTCAAGATAAGAATAGGCCTTAACATAATCATCTTATCTTATTTTAATTATTAAAACTATGTAATTCAATATAGATTTTACTTATATATATGCACATGATGAATAATATGATTTTATATTTGTTCAATTGTTAAACAATTAACATTTATTATATGATTTATATAAATAAAGCTTATTATATCTATAATTTATAAAAATGCTCCAAGTAAAAGAGTATATTGACAAGACTCGTCCCAACCTTCTCTATCTCATAGAATCTGGGCGTTCCTATAAAACTCAAGAAACCAAGATGAGTCGTGTATGAGTATCGAAAAACTAATCTCTTTTTGAACTTTCATAAATTTCCTTAGTTTCAAATCTTTTTTTTTTTTTTAAAAAACAAAATAGTACACATCATAAATTCTGAATCTTAAAATCGTAAAACCAATTGTCACGGCTCATAAACATCTATTTCATGAAGGCTGACTCAAACATCCTAACTCCTTAAACTTAATGCAATTTCTATACTTGATTTTCCAATGGGGCAAGAAGTCTACCCAAAATTTATTTAATGTAGGGCCAAGTTGTAGAAGAAATGTTGGAAAAACCAATCATCACGGCTCAAAGATATCAATTTCATGAAAGAAAAACCAACATAAGAATAGGCTTTGACATAATCATTTTATCTGATTTTAATTATTAAAACTATGTAATTCAATATAGATATTACTCATATATATGCACATGCTGAATTATATGGTTTTATATTTGTTCAATTGTTAAACAGTTTACATTTATTATATTATCTATATAAATAAAGCCTATTATATCTATAATTTATAAAAATGCTCCAAGTAAAAGAATATATTGACAAGACTCGTCCCAATATTCTCTATCTCATAGAATATGGGCGTTCCTATAAGACTTAAGAGACCAAGACGAGTCATGTATAAGTATCGAAAAACTAATCTCTTTTTGAACTTTCATAAATTTCCTTAGTTTCAAATTCTTTTTTTTTTTTTAAATAAAATGGTACACATTTTAAATTCTGAATCTTAAAATCGTAAAACCAATTGTCACAGCTCATAAACATCTATTTCATGAAGACTGGCTCAAACATCCTAACTCCTTAAACTTAATGCAATTTTCATACTTGATTTTCCAATGGGCCAAGAAGTCTACCCAAAATTTATTTAATGTAGGGCCAAGTTGTGGAAGAAATGATGGAAAACCCAATTATCACGGCACAAGAATAGGCTTTGACATAATCATTTTGTCTTTTTTTTTTTTTTTTTATAATTATTAAAACTATGTAATTCAATATAGGTATTACTCATATTTATGCACATGATGAATAATATGGGGTTATATATTCTTTCAAGTGTTAAACAATTAACATTTATTATATCATTTATATAAAATAAGCTTATTATATCTATAATTTATAAAAATGCTCCAAGTAAAAGAATATATTGACAGGACTTGTCCCAACCTTCTTTATCTTATAGAATTTGGGCATTCCTATAAGACTCAAGAGACCAAGACGAGTCGTGTATGAGTATTGAAAAACTAATCTCTTTTTGAACTTTCATAAATTTCCTTAGTACCAAATCTTTTTTCTAAAAACAAAATGGTGCATATTATAAATTCCGAATCTTAAAATCTGAAAACCAATTGTCACGACTCATAAACATCTATTTCATGAAGACTAACTCAGACATCCTAACTCCTGAAACTTAATGCAATTTCCATACTTGATTTTCCAATGGAGCAAGAAATACCTACCCAAAAGTTATTTAATGCAAGGCCAAGTCGTGGAAGAAATGTTGGAAAAACCAATTATCACGACTCAAAGACATCAATTTCACAAAAGCAAATCCAATACAAGAATAGGCTTTGACATAATCATTTTGTCTTTTTTCAATTATTAAAACTATGTAATTCAATATAGATATTACTCATATTTATGCACATGATGAATAATATGGTTTTATATTTGTTCAAGTATTAAACAATTAACATTTATTATATCATTTATATAAATAAAGCTTATTATATCTATAATTTTTAAAAACAGTCCAAGTAAGAGAATATATTGACAGGACCCGTCCTAGCCTTCTCTATCCCATAGGATTCGAGCATTCCTATAAGACTTAAGAGACCAAGATGAGTCATGTATGAGTATCGAAAATCTAATCCATTTTCTAAAGACAAAATGGTGCATATCATAAATTATGAATCTTAAAATCATAAATATTGCTTTTAGGCCCTATAAACAAAATAATATGGAAACTATGGGTAATGAACCCTCAAGTAGTGAAAGACAAAATATGCGACATAACACACAAATGGACTGATGTCGCATAGGCCCAACCTCGATGGAAAGTCATTGCTCTAGACAATCCCTGTGGTCAATGGGAGGGGGGAATTTTAAAAGGGTGAGTTAAAGATACTCAGTGTGTGGATGATTTTGTAAAACAGTTTTCAAAAAATCATAAAGTATGAAAATAAGTACTTATAAACTGTTTACTTTATTAGTTCATTTCTGTTACAGTAAAATTGATAACTGATAAATGATAAATGATTTGATACCGTAAACTAATAACTATTCTAATATTGTAAAGCTGAGAACTAATGTGATTCTATAAAACTAATAATTGATACTAAGGTTCTCACTACAACTAGTACCCATGGGAATATCTGTCATACTAGGTGGGCAGCTCACACACAGGCAGAGTAGGGAAAAATATGTCATACTTGGAAAGCTCTAACATCACACAGGCAGAGCAACTAAATATGTCATACTTGGCAGGAAGCTCATCGCTCAGATGGAGCAACTAAACTTGTTGTACGCATGCGTACAACCGATATTTGAGATCTATAACTCTGTATCTGAAAATCTCCAAATTTGATCTCTAAAGGTGGTAAACTACTGTAAATCTTATATTTAGTCTAATACATTATTTTCTTCAAAATGTAGGCCTTTATAATTATTACAACATTATAATAATAATTTATGATATACAATAAGGGGGCTAAAATGTAAATAAAGAACATGAGATTACTTTTAAATTAACTGCACTAAGGACTCAAATAAAACTTTACACTTAATTATTAAATACAAATTGCAAATCATGAACAGGGGATGGGCATGGGTCAAGGCAAGGTCGGGGACCTCCTTCAATCCCATTAATGCAGAGCTAATGGCCAAACCCATTACAATAAATTAAGCCATGCAAGAGATGATTTTATTTTTGTATATCATCGTCCTTCAAATGCTTATTGTTCCAGTCATTATCATGCGGTATAATCACATGATACTGCCGTTTTGACACAATATGATTACTCCAACCTAACCACAATGAAACTTCAAATTCTCAATCAAACCAAAACAACAACAAATTGAACACAAAATGGAGCCTAGCCAGTCTAATAAAAAATTACAACAGTAGGGCATTTAAGAGTATTTACATCCAACACTAAAACCCACAACCTAAAACAACAAAAACTAAGCCTAAAATCTCAAAATTAACCAAAAAAAAAAACCAGTTAGAAAATGAATCCAAATATTAAAAGTAATAACAAAACAAATGAAAAGAAGTTCAACCCACTTAGTAAATTCAAGAACAAAAACAACAGAGGGCTAATCGGTGTGTTTGCAATGATCACACAACGGTTGAGAAGACTGCACTTCAATGTCTTCAATGGTGCAAAGAAGGATAACAACATTGGCAGACTCGCAAACAAGAAGTGTACACCAAACGGGCATGCCTTTAACACTATAGTCTTCAAGCTCACCACATTGTCTCAGAAAGAGACAAATATTATCATGAAAAGGACTGGTGGGAGTAATAGGGCAACTTGAGTTGCCAAAAGTATGGAACTCGAACAATTATGGGGTCTTGTTTCTCTTTTTGCAAGATTAAAGAATCGAGATAGACATTTTTGAACCTAGTGAAGCTTTAGTGTTTGATTTTTGAAAGTGTTTTTGTTTTGTTTAACTAATTTCGTTGGGGATGTTAGGGTTTTCAAAAGTTTATTATAGATGAATAATGTTATACATACAAACAAATCCTACAAAGATCTGTGTACAAATTGATGTGACAAAAAATAATTGAAAAAGTGAATATGATGATTTTAACTTTTTGTATTTACTCTTCCACTCATTTTCTGCCACATCAGTTTATATATAAATTTTTGTAAGATTTTTTTTGTACATCTAACATTATTGTATTACAGAGTGTGGTTACTAGTTAGTCGTTAGGTTCCTTCTTACCATTTTGAGTTGTCGTAAGGCAGTAAGGTAGTAATACTAGATCAACTAACACTCTCACAAACACTCTTATATCGATTAACATGACAATTGATGTAGATGATGCTAATTTTAGTAACTAGTAAATATAAATGTAAATAAAAATCAATTAACTTATAACATTACTAGGAAATAAAAAAAGAATCATGCTACAATATTTGGAAAAAGGTAATACTACACTGATAAACAAATGTCACAAACTTTATGTTACAAACATGATGTGATAACTGATAATTAGTCTCTGGTGAATTCATCAAAAAAACCAATTATCAACTGTCATGTCGGATTTGTGAGAGAAAGTTTATGAGATTCGTTTATCAATCTATCTTTGTTGTTTGGGAAAATATACATCATTTTGTCGTTTCTTTGCCTGATCTCTGGCTAAGAGATTTGGCGAAGAAATATGGTCCTCTCATGTACACACAGCTCGGCCAAATTTTTCACCATTGTCTCTTCACCTGAAGCTGCTTATGAAGTAAAGAAAACTCATGATCTTTGCTTTGCTCAAAGGCCTTTGGCCTAACTGAATCACTGTATAAATAATTTGTCTTATAAATCATGAAATTGAGAAAAACAAATTTTTTTTTAATTATCCATATGTGGGTAACCTAGATGGTTAGGATGAATTAAGGATAGTGTGGATAGACACATAAACTCATATTCGATCCCTCATCTGAGCATCCGCGATTTAAGTGAGAGATCATGATAATAGGTTGTTGCACTAGTCACTCTAAAGAATGATTAGTTTAAGTGAAGACCGTGACGTGGATTATTGTGCTAATCTCCCTTGGAAATGATTAGTGTAAGTGAGAAATGCGCATAAGGTGACGTGGATTATTGTGCTAGTCTCCCTTGGAAATGATTAATGTAAGTGGGAAATGCGCATAAGTTGTCTGGACACCTTGGTTACAAAAGAAATATATTTTTAAATTTTATAAATTAATAATTTGATTTGCTACAATAAAAGTAAAATAAAAATATGAATAAAATATTTTGATAATTTAATAAAACATTAGATTTTTTACCGAACCTTGTATATAAGAATGACCACGGAGACCAAAATGTATTTAACTTGGTTTTGTCTAACAAAACAAAATGGCACGGGCGTTATTCATTGAGAATCCGAAGTCATTTTGTTTTGTCAGAAGTTGTCCACAGATAACAAAAACCTTGGCTTCCAACATACACATCCAACGTTTTATCCAACAAAATAATGGCGGTGCTAGTTCGTTTTTCATGCTTCTTTACACGGCCAAGCTGCCTCCCATCTCCACCGTCTGATCATTTCTCCGACAAACCCCACGTGGCCGGTTAGTTATTCTTTTACACGCCATAAATTTTGCAGCTTTTCGTTCATGCTAGTAACTTTAGCAGTTCAGTGAAGCTTCAAGCTTTGTTTGTTAACTTGAACTGGTTGTAATCTGTGTGTTGATCTGACTGCTGTTAGTTTGGATGAATTCTTGCATATTCTTTTTGGGTTTTTTGTGTTTAGTAAATGGGAATGGAAAATGAAGTTGATTTGGGATTGCTACTGTAGAAAGCTCAATTGGGTTAGTGTTATTTGTTGTTTTGTTTTGTTTGTTCGTCGTAAGATTTGATAAATCAATTGTCATAGGTCATAACATCTATCACAAAGACTTATCAAATATCATGACTTTTGAAACTTTGCAATTTCCATATTGATTTTCAATGAGGCAAGAAGTCTACCCAATTATTTATGTAGGGAGGTTGTGGAAGAAGGTTGGAAACCCAATTATCACGGTCAAAGACATCAATTCATGAAAGCAAATCCAACATAAGAATAGACTTTGACATAATCTTATCTTATTTAATTATTAAAACAGTAATTCAATATAGATATTACTCAATAAGCACATGATGAATAATATGGTTTATATTGATCAATTGTTAACAATTAACATTTATTTAATCATATACAAATAAAGCTATATATCTATAATTTATAAAAATGCTCAAGTGAAAGAATATATTAATAAACTCGTCCCAACCTTCTCTATCCATAGAATCTGAGCGTTTCTATAAGACTTAAGAGACCAAGACGAGTCGTGTATGAGTATCGAAAAACTAATCTCTTTTTGAACTTCATAGATTTCGTTAGCTTCAAATCCTTTTTTTTTTAAAACAAAATGGTACACATCATAAATTGAATTAAAACTGTAAAACCAATCGTCACAACTCATAAACATCTATTTCATGAGACTGACTCAAACATTCTAACCTCCTAAACTAATGCAATTTCCATATTGATTTTCCAATGGGCAAGAAGTTACCAAAATTATAATATAGGGCAAGTTGTGGAAGAAATGTTGGAAAAAACAATTATCCGGCTCAAGACATCAATTTCATGAATGAAAATTCAAGATAAGAATAGGCTAACATAATCATCTATCTTTTTTAATTATTAAAACTATGTAATTCAATAGATTTTACTTATATATATGCACATGATGAATAATGATTTTTATATTTGTTCAATTGTTAAACATATAACATTTATTATATGATTATATAATAAATAATGCTATAAATCTATAATTATAAAAATGCTCCAAGTAAAAGAGTATATTGACAAGACTCGTCCCAACCTTCTCTATCTCATAGAATCTGGGCGTTCCTATAAAACTCAAGAAACCAAGATGAGTCGTGTATGAGTTATCGAAAAATAATCTCTTTTTGAACTTTCTAAAATTCCTTAGTTTCAAATCTTTTTTTTTTTTTTAAAAACAAAATAGTACACATCATAAATTCGAATCTTAAAATCGTAAAACCATTGTCACGGCTATAAACATCTATTTCATGAGGCTGACTCAAACATCCTAACTCCTTAAACTTAATGCAATTTCTAACTTGATCAATGGGCAAGAAGTCTACCCAAAATTATTTAATGTAGGGCCAAGTTGTAGAAGAAATGTTGGAAAAACCAATATCACGGCTCAAAGAATCAATTTCATGAAAGAAAACACAACATAAGAATAGGCTTTGACATAATTATTTATTTTAATTATTAAAACTATAATTCAATATAGATATTACTAATATATGCAAATGCTGAAATTATGGTTTATATTTGTTCAATTGTTAAACAGTTTATTTTATAATATCTATATAAATAAAGCATATATCTATAATTTATAAAAATGCTCCAAGTAAAGAATATATTGACAAGACTCTCCAATCATTCTATCTCATAGAATATGGGTTTCCTATAAGACTTAAGAGACCAAGACGAGTCATGTTATAAGTATCGAAAAACTAATCTCTTTTTGAAATTTCATAAATTTCCTTAGTTTCAAATTCTTTTTTTTTAAATAAAATGGTACACATTTTAAATTAGAATCTTAAACAATAAAAACAATGTCACAGCTCATAAACATCTATTTCATGAAGACTGACTCAAACATCCTAACTCCACTAACTTAATGCAATTTCATACTTGATTTTCCAATGGGCCAAGAAGTCTACCAAAATTTATTTAATGTAGGGCCAGTTGTGAAGAAATGATGGAAAACCCAATTATCACGGCACAAGAATAGGCTTTGACATAATCATTTTGTTTTTTTTTTTTTTTTTAATATTAAAACTAGTAATTCAATATAGGTATTACTCATATTTATGCACATGATGAATAATATGGTATATATTCTTTCAAGTGTTAAACAATAACATTTATTATCATTATATAAATAAGCTATTATATCTAATTTATAAAAATGCTCCAAGTAAAAGATATATTGACAGGACTGTCCCAACCTTCTTTATCTTATAATTTGGGCATTCCTATAAGACTAAGAGACCAAGACGAGTCGTGTATGAGATATGAAAAACTATCCTTTTTAACTTTCATAATTTCCTTAGTACCAAATCTTTTTTCTAAAAACAAAATGGTGCATATTATAAATTCGAATCTTAAAATCTGAAAACAATTGTCACGTCATAAACATCTATTTATGAAGACTAACTCAACATCCTAACTCCTGAAACTTAATGCAATTTCCATACTTGATTTTCCATGGACGAAGAAATACCTACCCAAAAGTTATTTAAGCAAGGCCAAGTCGTGGAGAAATGTGGAAAAACCAATTATCAAGCTCAAAGACATCAATTTCACGAAAGCAAATCCAATAACAGAATAGGCTTTGACATAATCATTTTGTCTTTTTCAATTATTAAAACTATGTAATTCAATATAGATATTACTCATATTTATGCACATGATGAATAAATGGGTATATTTGTTCAAGTATTAAACAATTACATTTATTATATCATTTATATAATAAAGCTTATTATATCTATAATTTTTAAAACATCCAAGTAAGAGAATAATTGACAGGACCCGTCCTAGCCTTCTCTATCCATAGGATTCAGTCATTCTATAAGACTTAAGAGAACAGATGGTCATGTATGAGTATCGAAAATCTAATCCATTTTTCTAAAGACAAAATGGTGCATATCAAAATTATGATCTTAAAATCATAAATATCTTAGAGCCTATAAACAAATAATATGGAAACTATGGGTAAGAACCCTAAGTATGAAGACAAAATATGCGAAATACACAAAAAGGAACGATGTCGCATGGCCCAACCTCGATGGAAAGCATTGCTAACAATCCCTGTGGTCAATGGGAGGGGGAATTTTAAGGGTGAATAAAATATCAGTTGTGTGGATGATTTTGTAAAACAGTTTTCAAAAAATCATAAAGTATGAAAATAAGTACTTATAAACTGTTTACTTTATTAGTTCATTTTGTTACAGTAAAATTGATACTGATAAATGATAATGATTGATACCGTAAACTAATAACTACTAATATTGTAAAGCTGAGAACTAATGTGATACTATAAAAACATAATTGATACTGAGGTTCTCACACAACTAGTACCCATGGGAATATCTGTCATACTGGTGGGCAGCTCACACCCAGGCAGAGTAGGGAAAAATATGTCATACTGGAAAGCTCTAACATCACACAGGCAGAGCAACAAATGTCATACTTGGCAGGAAGCTCATCGCTCAGATGGAGCAACTAAACTTGTGTACGCATGCGTACAACCGATATTGAGATTATAACTCTGTATCTGAAAATCTCCAAATTTGATCTCTAAAGGGTAAACTATGAAATCTTATATTTATAACATTATTTTCTTCAAAATGTAGGCTTATATATTTACAACATTATATAATAATTTATGATATCAATTAGGGGGCTAAAATGTAAATAAAGAACATGAGATTACTTTTAAATTAACTGCACTAAGGACTCAAATAAAAATTTACATTAATTATTAAATACAAATTGCAAATCATGAACGGGGATGGGCATGGGTCAGCGAAGGTCGGGGACCTCCTTCAATCCCATTAATGCAGAGGTAATGGCCAAACCCATTACAAGAATTAAGCCATGCAAGAGATGATTTTATTTTTGTATATCGTCGTCCTTCAAATGCTTTTGTTCAGTCATTATCATGCGGTATAATCACATGATCTGCCGTTTTGACACAATATGATTACTCCAACCTAACCACAATGAAACTTCAAATTCTCAATCAAACCAAAAAACAACAATGAACACCAAATGGAGCTAGCCGTCTAATAAAAATTACAACAACTTCATTTGCTGTAGGACATAGAAGAGGTCAATAAGGGCAAAATTAATGCTGGTCCCCACTGTTGTGGAAGGAAAATTCCCATTGATTGTAACTAGCTTGGAAAAATCAAATTACGTGATTTGAGATTGCTTCCATTACACGGTTCGAGACTGCTTCCTCTACCATAACTAGCAACTTCATTTGCTGTAGGACATGGAAGAGGTGCCCCCACTATTGTGGAAGGAAAATTCCCATTGACTGCAACTAGCTTGGAAAAATCAGATTACGCAATTTGAGACTCTTCCATTACGCGGTATATGTGAAAAGGTATAGGCGCATAACCACTTTTGAAATGAAGTTAATTATTAATCACTTTTAAAGATAAATTACAAAAACAATAATTGGTAATATTTTTTATGAGTCAAGGTCAACCGAAGTAACAAGTTTCTTAGAATCTCTCTATACATTATTGCTGGAAGTCATTTTCCACCCAATTGTTTTCTTCAATTATAATTGATGAACAATTCAATTTAGGTTTTTAATCCTATTACATTGGACAGATTAGTGTTCATGAGATCTTTCGCTCCTTTTTTCCAAAGATGTATTATAAATTTATATCCTAGTTTTCATTGTGTATGAAATAAGCTCAAATTATCTTATCCTCTCTTAATATTATTGCTTTTTATTCTTGTGGGTAT